TCTGTTTTGCAAGGAGGAGTCCACCGAGACCATTGAGGAGGATCCTGGGTCGTAGTGGGGAAAAGGAGGTGGAGGCCGACCATAGAGAGCTTCGAATGGAGACATCTTGATGGAGCTGTGGAACGCCGTGTTGTGCCATAGTTCTGCTAAATGTAAGTAATGAAACCATTTCTTTGGTTGTTCACTAGCAAAACAACGTAGATAGGTTTCCAAACATCTGTTGACTACCTCTGTTTGTCCGTCCGTTTCAGGGTAGTATGCGGTGCTGTATTTCAATGTGGTGCCTTGCGCCTTGAACAATTCCTTCCAAAAGTTGCTAAGAAAAAGGGGGTCGCGATCTGAAATAATAGTGCGTGGTATTCCATGAAGACGGCAAATCTCAACTGAGAATCTGAGAGCTAAGTCTTTTGCAGTGAACTTTGTAGGGAGTCCAATAAAATGACAGAACTTGCTGAGACGGTCGCAAATCACCCAGATTACAGTATGGCCAAAAGAAACTGGCAAGTGAGTAATGAAGTCCATTGTTAAGTCTTCCCAGACTTGGTGCGGAATTGGTAAGGGTTGCAGTAGTCCTTGTTTCTTCTGAGTGCTATATTTATTCGTTTGACAGATTGCACAGGTTTTGACAAATTCTTTTGTGTCCTTGTAGATACCTGGCCAAAGAAAGGCACTAGAGACCCTAGCAAGGGTAGGTTGAAGTCCAGAATGGCCGGCGATGGGTGTTGAATGATATTCGTTCAAGATTTTGTGTCTCAAATCTTCAACAGCAGGTATAAAGATCTTATCTTTATAATACAACAAGTCGTCCTTGAAGTGAAAGAGAACCTGATTATCATTCGCGGCTAATAGATTTGTGACAAGTTTTTATCCTTCAGGTTGTTTGTGTAATATTGTCTGAGGTAGCCTATCAGTTGAAGGACGGGGGAAGAGATTGAGAAGAACATGGCGGCTTCATCGGAGTAGATGCGGCTTAAGGCATCGGCGACCTGGTTAGATTTGCCAGGTTTGTAAAAAATGTCAAAATCAAAGCCTTGTAATTTTGCCGCCCACTTTTGTTGTTCAGGTGTCTGAATAGTCTGAACTAACAAATTCTTCAAACTTTTTTGATCAGTGTAAATATGGAAGTGTCTACCAATCAAGTATTGGCGCCATTTCTTCACAGCTTCCGTGATGGCATACATTTCGCGGACATAGACGGAGGAAGCCTGAAGCCGATTGCACATCTTCTTACTGAAAAAGGCCAAAGGGTGACCCTGCTGAGAAAGAACAGCACCAACAACAACTGCTGAAGCATCAGTCTCCAAGATGAAGAGTTGAGAAAAATTTGGAAGACTTAGGATAGGAGTTGTAGTCAAGTGTTGTTTTAATTTTGTAAACGCGGAATCCGCGACTGTACTCCATTGTAACTTAGTGGAACGTAACAAATCGGTGAGCGGAGCGGCGAGAGTGACGTAATGACGAACAAATCGTCGATAAAAACCGGTGAGGCCCAAGAATCCTCTGAGAGCCGTGAGTGAACGTGGCGTTGGCCAATCAAGAATAGCTTGGATTTTAGTTGGATCAGGGGTGACACCATCCCGTGAGATAATATGGCCTAAATAATCAACATTAGGAACAGAAAAAATACACTTGGAGAACTTCGCGTAAAATTGGTTAGCCAACAATAATTCTAAGATGAGTTTTAAATGCATAGCATGATCAGAAACACTGGAACTATAAATTAAAATATCATCAAAGAACACTAAAACAAACCGGCGTAAATATGGGCGAAGCAAATCATTCATAGCCGACTGAAATGAACTTGGCGCGTTTGTCAAGCCAAAAGGCATGACGAGAAACTCATAGTGACCATCAAACGTTCGGAAAGCAGTTTTGTGAGTGTCATTTGGGTTAACCCGTATCTGATGGTAACCCGAGCGTAAATCGATCTTAGAAAATATAGTGGCAGAACCCAACTCATCAAAGAGTTCATCAGTTGTGGGTATTGGAAACCGGTCTTTAATAGTTACCGCATTCAAAGCGCGATAGTCGACGCAGAAGCGCCATGAGCCGTCTTTCTTGCGAACTAGGAGAACGGGTGAGGAGTAAGGGTTGTTGCTAGGTTTAATGATACCTTCGTGTAGCATGTCTTGTATGATTGAAGTCATGATATCTTTTTGAGAGTGAGGATATCGGTATGGTTTCACATTGACAGGAGGGGTGTTGGGAAGAATTGGGATGTGGTGGTCATGAGGCCTTGGGGGAGGAAGGTCGTGCGGCTGGTTGAAAATCGCTGCGAATGAGTGAATTATAGTGGAGATTTGTTGGGGAAGTGATGTTGGTAAGGAACTAAGTGGAGAGGCAGGTGTGAGGGAATTGGACTCAGGTGGTGGTTGATAAAGAAGTAGATGGATAGAAGCAACAGAATCTATTTGGAGAAGATGTCTTATATGGTTGTAAGAAGAGTGTAAGGGAGGGGATTTAGGGTCCCCTGTGATGGTGATTTCAGTTGTCTGGTATGTAAAAGAGATTTTTGGGATAGAAAAATCTGCTAGGAGTGGCCCAAGTGTACGCAACCATTCCATGCCCAAAACGACGTCTGCGCCTTCAATGGGTATTAAGTGGAAGGGGATAGTGAAAAGGTGGTTTTGTAGGGTGATAGGGACGTGCGGGCATAGTCCTGAGCATGATAGTTTAGAGCCATTTCCAACCATGACAGAAAAGTTGGGGATGGGGTTGATGGTTAAGCGTAGATGGTGGGCAATACGCGGCTGGAGAATGTTGTGGGTGCTGCCTGTGTCAATTAAAACTGACACTGGAAGGCCATGAATGTGTCCTTTAAATTTCAGAGTCTTTGGGGAAAACTGGCCATTTGCTGCTTGTGGGGATAGTTGAAAATATGTGTCGTCAATGTCTGGGGTTGGTGGAATGGGCTCAAGAATTGTGTTGGGCTCCTCGTCCGAGACAACCTCGTCGTCTACCATTAGGAGCAAAAATTTTCCAGTGGAGCATTTATGGCCTGGGATGAATTTTTCATCGCAATTAAAACACAAGCCTTGTGCTCTGCGCTCTTGAAGTTGGGCGTTGGACAAACGTTTAATAGGTAGTTTGGTTGGCTGGGGTATTGTTGGGGATTGAAGTGGAGGTGTATTGTTGACTTGAGTTGCTGGGGCAGTAGTAGGTTTTGGTAATGGAGGTGGAAAGGGTCTGTGGTATTTAGGTTTGGAATCTTTGATTTTTGATTCAATTAACTTCGCGAGGCCAATCGCCTGTGAGATAGAAACCGGTTTGAGGATAGCAATCTCGTTCTGAATCTCAAACCGTAACCCTGAAATGAAACAATTCAGGATAGCGTCCTGAGGTAAGCCAATCACCTGCGTACCTAATTTTTCAAACGCAGCTTGGTATTCCACAACTGTCCCAGTCTGTGTTAACTTAAATAGTTCTGCTTGATGGTTAATATAGGTGGATGGTCCAAAACGCAATTCCAAAGCTCTGGTAAAAGCATTCCAATCAGTTAATAGATGACTTTGGTACATCCACTTGAACCAACATAAGGCTTCGCCTTTCATGTAAAAAGAGATCATAGCAAGTCTATGTTCAGGTGGGAGTTGATAAAAATCAAAAAATTGGTCGGCTTGGAATAACCATTCCAAAGGGTTTGAGCCATCAAACATGGATAATTCCAGTTTTGGGGTTCTGAACGGGGGTAGTGGTGTGGTTGAGTGGAGCGGAGAATAATTTAGATTGTGAAAGACAGGAGCTGTATAGGTCGGTTGGAAAGGTAACGTAGTAGAGGTATTGTGGATGGGTGGGGGAGAGGAAAAAATCTGGGTGGGGTTAGGGTTGTGGGACGAAAAATGTTGCTGGATAGAGAGGGTTGTTGGCTGGAGACAGAGTGTAGTAGGGGGGATGAGGCTTGTGGTACGTGAGGGGAAGAGAGAGGCGTGGTAGTTTGAGAAAAATTAGGGGGAATGTGTGTGATACCTGAAGAGGAAGGCGTTGAGATGGAAGGAGGGTTCCGCTGCTGTTGCTCTTTTTGAGCAAGCAGTTTTTGCAGCAGCGCCATTATGTTGTCATAACGTGAATCGGAGATCTGTTTTTCAGTGTCCATTCGCGTGTGCAGCATCTCCAGATCTGCAGAACTTTTGTCGAATCGTTCATCGATCTGCTGCTGGGTTCGATTTAATGCCAAATCAAGGTGAGTATGAGCTATTTGGACAGCTTCATCAATAATGTCTTTAGGGTTGGGTGGTTTGGGTTTGGGGGCCATGAATCCAAAAGATGAAAGCACCAATTTGATAAGAAGGTTTCTAACAATATATATTTCTAAGATCTAGGGTTACTAATTTGAGAGTGAATGGAGAAGATAAAAAAGTAAAATAACAACTTTCTCATTTCATATCCTTTGTTGTGGCCAAAGTGGTCTTTTAAATACAAAGGAGACTGGATGTTCTAATGAGTCCAATGGGCCTAGCCCATGAATAGAGACAACATTTAAATTAAACATGTAACTAACATAATTATTTATAGAAATCTTTCATCCACTTGGGCTGGTTCCTGTTTCTAATGGGCCTCCTATCAACTTAGCTTTGATATTTCATAATACTGAGTTCGAATCACCCCAAAATCAATGGTAAAATGCCCAATAATACCACTTTGGTTAATAAAAATACTCTATTTCTCAAAAAAATTAAATAGAAAAAATACGCATCAAGGAAATGGAAGGCTTGTTACTAATTAAATATTCACATACTGGAATAATTCTAAACAATGTAATGTGTAACTTGATTCTAACAAAAACAACAGCTACCATTTGAATAAATTTATAATCACTAAATAGAAATAAAATTGATAATATACAATAATACCCTAAACCTAACCCTATTGATCTGGACAAATAAATACCAGAAGCATACGCCAAAAGGTACATATCATTATGTTTTCACCTCATCTCCTACACTACAAACATCTCATTCTCGCACCATGGAAATAAGTCGCTATCTAACCACAGCGAATAATCACCTTCGCTTTGCAGCATTACCATGCGGATGCTGATTTGCTTTACTATCAGTTTTGATTCTGTCCGCGTACATGGGAAGGCGAATTATCTCATTTATTTCATTCAACAAGTCTTCTTCTGTGATGTTGTCTTTTATGCTTCGCATCACCTGTAATAAATTAAGTAAATGGTTCAAATAAAGTACAAATTAAGAGATGAGAGATTAAAAAATGGGAGTTAGTATTGGACCTTTCTGTAAGTATTAAACTCATTTGGAGTTGATTTATCTGTCCTAATTCGCAAGAATATCCATTCCAGGTTATCAAAATCCCAAGTACACTCAATTATCTTTCCCGAATAAAGTGAGGGATCCGAACCATCTGCATATTTAACGCTATCAGAAAGCAATTGAAACTAAAACAAAAACTAGTATTAACGGTGGACTTGAAAACAAAGTAGGACAGATAAAATAAAATGAACTTCGTCTGACCTGGGAATGCAACCTTATTCCCATCCATGAGTTTCTTCTTTCCTCGCTCATTCACAAAAAGTAGCTCCCGATCACCTTCGACCTGCCAACAGAAGCAGCTACAAATTAATAGCAGTATCAATATCAAACAACTGACCAAGTAATATCAGAATTCCCAACACGATTCAAAAGAAGGGCGATGATAACCTCAAACAGAAAGTCAACTGAATTTAAATTAGCGTATTTCCACTTTAAGAGTCCTTCATGAGTACGAGGTACATAAGGATCGTCCCAACCCTGGTCAATAATATAATCAGTAACAAACTTTATGAATCCAAAACAAAAGGAAAAGAATAACACTATAAGTTAACAGGATTTGGAAGTAAAGGAATGGAGCAGGAAGCAGAGGAAGTATATGTACATTGGTTCTTTTCCTTCCAAATCCTTAACCAGACTCGTATCAATAATGAGCCACAAAGATTTATTCTCTACTAATTATTGTGTAGATCCCATTTAAGAAGGCAATCAACAGATTCAAAAGATAAAATCCAAAAAGAGAACAAGCAACGATTAAAACAGCAATAACTGCGTGACTTGCGAGCTTGGCATATGACAGAAATTCTCATTCTGGTGTCTAGTACACTTGAAAGTGACCACTAATCATTGATCACCAATTACAACCCACCTGAAATATGAGACCATCTGCCTCATGTGAGAGTCTTTTGATGAATTCCTTTAAAAGCTTTGTGACAGTAGAAAGCAACCAAAAATCTTTCCTCCTCACCTAGACATTTGAAAAATACCAACAGTCAGCCAAAGGAGAAAAATGAGGCTTCATGTATTCTGCGATCAATTCAAGGTTCAAGATGCATGCCCTGAATGGTTCCAGATCATATCTGTAGTAAGGATTTTTGCTCTGGTATATATGTTGCCGTTCAGTGTTCCTAGGTTCAATCACTTCTTTCTCAAGCATCTTCCATCTTTCACAGAAGGGTCGCTGCACCAAGTTTGATTTGATAATCAATAAGTATACACAGCTACCAAGAATCAAGAAATGCAAGAAAGTAGAGCAGATAAAAACAACTCAGAAAACGTTGTTGAAACATTTCAAATTATGATGAATCAAACCAATGTTCACCAGAGTATCCTTAGACAAACTCACTCTTGACAGACAAATGTGAGTAAGACTGCAACTGCAACCATTACATACCACCCATTGATTGGAATTATGAATAGTTTTTTCTTAGTTAGGAAGGCATTTAAACTTTGTTTCCGGTTAATACAAATGCCAAAGCCAATTTCTGATAGGAAAATAACACATAAAAACATGTTTATGCAGCCCTAAATTTAAATTTAATTAAATGCAGGATTCTTCTGAATTCCAATATTCCAATCAAACAAAAAGATGCGAAGAAGTTCAAGAGGTAAGGACGAAGATGATTTCACAAAATAATATGTTAAATATGCCTGACTGATCTGAATGACTAATTGTGGGTTTTATATCCAATTATATAGCCAAACAAGACCACAAGAAATCTGAAAACTAACAAAGATACATGCAATCAAAGTGACCTTTGCAATCTAAGTAACAACCAAAATATAACTGCACAAATTATAGAACTGCCTCCCATCAGATTCTGATAGCATGTTAGGGAAGTGATAAACAGAGATACAAATGATGGAATTGGTGTCTAACCTACATAGCTGAGATGAATTATATAGACTGAACAAATGCACAATATTACAGTTATCTATTTCATTCTACCAATTCTAAAACAGAAATTATATCACCCAGCAGTATTTTGCACAATAGCTTCTAAACCAAACCTCTATTATTGAAACATGGTTGATTGCCATAAGATCATATATAAGGTATCTTCTCTCCTGCTTATTTGAATCTGGCAAAGTATCGATAACCATCTCGCCATCAAGTAATGTGAAATGATGGGTCTTCTCACCCAAACCCTTAGAACCAAAAAATAACAAATTCAGTCTTTGCAAATTTATAACAAAACATAGTATAATATGTCTCTTTAAGCTGTACACTGATTTCATATTGTAATATAATTACAATCAACAAGCTTATTATGAGCCAAAGTAACAAACTTACAGCTTTATCCCAAGCTAATTTATATTACTTATCATAACTACAGTACATCATCAAAATTACATATGCTGTATACCACTCGAGATAAAGCATGTATCTAATAGAATTGGTTCTATATGAGAATATAAATTTAAATAAAGCATAGGTTACAGTTTGTAAAAGATAGATGCAGTTTCTAGAGGACATACCAACTTGGAGTTGGTTACAGCTGTCAACAAGCTACAGCTGTTCTTAACACACTATTACACATGCTTTAGTTAAATCTATAGTCTCGTATAACTTCCAAGGGAATAAATTGGAAAAATATTCAGTCGAAAAAAGGCTAGAGAACTTTATGTATAACAGAATCATGTTTTTTCCAAGTACGGTTAGGGTGATTTAGCCAGGTTATGAAAATTCAAGGTTAGCATAAAATAGAACAGAGCTGAAAACTGCAAAATGTTGTGAGGACTTGCAAGAATAGAGACATAGTGAGAAAGAAAAATGCCAGAGTTTACAGCAGGAAACTTCACTACTGAGACAATGTTAAAACAGTATTTTGGAACTGCATTGCTCATAGTACATAGCAGAATATTTAGAGGCGAAGAGTTATTGCAAGCTAATCATTAACAAACCATCAGATCACTAGATAATGTAAAGTAACTATCATAATTATGGCTGATAATGGTATTTACACATGTTGCAAAATCTACATATGTTGAATAATCTATAAAGCAGCATACATACATCATTCAAACTCCTGCAAGGAAACCTCATTTGGACCCTTCGACAATTAAAACTTCTATCAATCAAGTAACACCCATCCATTGTTATTAACATCATATACCGTGTACCATCAGCCTTCCATGTTGCATAATAATAACGCTGTCGTAATAACTGCAAATTATCCCTGCATACCATCATAAAAAAATTTAACATAGATACACTGACAAAAATGTCAAATTAATTAGGAACAATGTTTTGAAATCAATATAACAGTAAATTTACACAACAACGAAAGTGAATAAATAATTAAATTTAAGAATTTAATTGATATTTGGTGTCAGTGTGAAGAGTTTTTACACTATCAATCAATCACAACCATTAGATCTTTAGAAATGTTTGACTTTTATCATAATTATAGTTAAAGTCATGCCCATGAATAGGTGTAATGGACTGAAAGTATAAAACTCTACACATGAAGATGTGTTGTAAGAACATATGGGCAAAAACTTTTTTTAAGTTAACTTTTAAATATGGGGAAAATCTCACAATACAATTAAATTAATATAACATTAAAACATGATTTAATGGCTTAAATAAATAGAACCTGTTGAGAGAAACTGGGTGTGAACCTGGAAACTGCGTATGTCCTCTGGCCTGTATACTAGAAGTTAGTGAACTGGCAATACGAAGCATTAGAGGCCAAAAAAGCGGGTAATTCATAAAAATGAAAGAGGGAAAAGAAAGGAGTGATCTGTGAACAGCTTTTAAAAAAACCAATGGTATTTTCATAAAAGCAATTTAGAACTCAGAGTTACAAAAGAATATACTGCGTCTGGTTTATTTGATGAACAATCAAAATAAATAATGGCCAATAAATATTCCAGCCCTGCAACTAAGTCAATATTTATGAAAGGCACTCCACAAGTTAAAGAGTGATTTTATAAAATAAAATAAAATGCAATAAACATAAAACAATTAGTATCCAGGCTAATAATGAGAAAATATTTCAACAGTCACGTCATAACCAAATTTACCTAAAATGAGAACCAGACAACTATAAACACAGATGAAAAAAACATCCAGTAATCAGGATACGAGTACATGTGCTCCAAATAGTAGGAAGGGGAAAACCCCTCAAATGAAGATACTAAAAGAATACTTGATTTTGAAAACATAAAACGATAAGTCCGAGCAAATCAAATGAAAGGTACAATAGTGTAATGTAACAAAGAAAAAGGATTGGATCATTGTTAAAAACTATAAGAATATACACCATCAATTCCTTTGTTGTAATATAAGTGAATAAAAATGGAAAGATGCAATGGCATAATTAAAATTCATAATTCATAATATTAATAACATGTTCTCAAATCTCAACAGTATAAACCTATGCATGAAAATAAAAAGACCTACCCCAACACCCAATCTAAGTGTTTGATAACAGAATTGCCGAAATGCATCTTGCTGATCACTGGGTATCTCGTCTCCTAAAACATCGTCATTCGTCATCACAGTGCCTGTCTCATGGTTCTCCTAAAAAATTGGGAAAAATTCAAAGTTTAAAACATGTTACATAACTGAGTCCACAATTTTTATGAGTATTAGTATGTTACCATTTGTCTAAAACTATGTAAGGATAAATTACAACCTCCATTAATAGATGCTTAAATTATAGTCACTGCATTCCCCTCTATTTTGAAAAAACAAACTTACCTTTATTTAGAGATTGATATGTGCTACATTTTACTCTATTTTAATGAGAAAAACACACTTTGTATCAATTTTTCTGTGACTCTTGGCATAATCGGCAGCAAATTTTGATCCTTAGTATCTTTTTTTTTGACAAAAATGAAGATAAAATGAAGATTCTGGTTAATTACCAAAGTAGTAAGGATAGTTAACTACCAAAGTGATAGTAAGGGTATTGAGAACATTATTTCATTTTATGTAGTTCTAAAAGTGATATAAACATTCAATGGTAGACTCTTGTAATATCGAAAGTCTAGAAGGCTCATTAAAAAAAATTTACCATTGCAAAGGCATTTGATTACATTAAAATTGACTGTGTGTTTGTAAGTGAGTGTTTGCAAATAGTAATTTTTGAATGAATTTGACTTTGGAAATTCAATTTGGTCAAAATTTAGTTTGAAGTGAAGTGATTTGTATTTAGATTTTCCACTCTAAAAAAATTTAGTTGTATAATTTTCAATGTAACAGAAAAACTGCTTTTATCACGATCAGACAAATTGAGGCTTGGAGGCAAAATTAATTTTAATCAAAGTAACCAGAGATCTATACCTATATTTTTACTAAAATAATATTTGATTGGAAGAAAAATCAATTGGACACTTCTCATCGTGCATACAAATATGCACTGAAGAGTAGCAGTGTATCACTTTTCATTTAGAGGGGTACATGAGTGTAATTTTAAAGATCAGATGTGAGAGCAGTTATTTACCCAATGCACAACAAGTAGGTCAGCAATGTGGTTAGGTAACGAAGGACAAACTGGACAGACCCGAACAGAGGAGCTTCACACCCAAACCCTTCGTGCGCAGATAATGTGAAGGTCTGTTCACAGTAGGGCTATTCAAAAAAACCATGAACTGAACCAAACTATCTAACTGAACCGAACTGAAGTTAAAATAACCAAACCGTTATATTTGGTTAGTGAACCAAACCATATTGCATAAAACAGTTCTAGAACCAAACCGAAACTATAACCGAACCGAAACTGAAACCGAACCAAAAATGAAAATGAAAAATACTAAAAATAATTTTAAATTTATTTTATTTTAAATTTGAAAAATAGTTTAATGGTTTGATTCTTTAATAAATGGTTCGGTTCGGGAAAATTTGTCTTATAGCGGTTCAGTACGGTTCGGAATTTCTAAATGGTATACCAAACCAATTATTTTGGTTCGGTTCGGTCTGAGTAAATCAAAACGGTTTGGTTCGGTTCAGTTCGAGTAAACTTTTACTCTGGTTCGGTTCAGTTTTCTCACTGAACTGAACCGTGAACAACCCTAGTTAACAGATTAAGGATAGTCTTTCACATCATCTTAGGCTTTGGACCTAACTCAACCCAACATAAACAACTTGTGAAGTGAAGATTTCCTAAACTTTATGACATTTCTAGCCAAAATGGACTTCGGTTTTACCAATAGTTTAAAATTCCACCAAACGACATCATAAATTCCACCAAACGACATCATATATGAACCTTTGAAGTAGAAATGGAAGGAGATTCACTCTATAAAGCACAAAGGAAGAAGTCACTGGTTCTGTATTAAAGACAATATACTCTACTGTTAGAATTAGAAGGAGATTCTGTCCTACAAGGTTATGTCCAGATCAGTGTTAAAAGGACTCTGTCCTAACCATCTTCAACAACAGTTTATCCTTGAACCCTTTCACAACCAAGGCAACAAATATGCGCGGTGAAGGAGATCAGTGAAACTATTGTGGAGGTTAGGGTGATTGGCTTGATAATTTAAGAAAGGCAACTTTTCATAAAGGATTAGATGTTCAGGTATAATTTGATGGCTTTGAATCTCATGGGCAAACTTTTCAATTTTCATACTTGAATGCCGTTGTCCTCATGAGCCAATTCAAGAACCAAGTTTCATTTCCTTCTTTTGTTCCTCTAGTGTAGAAACTCTTCATTTGGGTTTTGGTAATCAAACACTGAAAGCCTTCTGAAATCTACGGCTACTAGAAACTAGTCATGAAAAAACCTAATCCTTCCAATGTATTAAAAAAAGAGTATGTGTCTCACTTTGATTTTAAGACAATTACATTTAAATTTAGAAGATAAATAAATTTATTAAATATTACTAATTTTTTACAGGTACGAACACATTTATTCATTATTAGACCATTATTCCTTAAATGAGTGCCTTTAATACCCAGTGTGGTACTATAAACATTTTCTTATGACAAAATATCATCTCCTTTTCCTTCTTTTTTCTACTGTTAAGAGTTCTATATTGAATGATATATAGTTTGAACATAAGCTTATAAGAACAGGCAGTGCTCACCTTATAAGTTGGTTTTGTAAGGGTAAAGTTAAGCCTAACTAAAATTTGAAAACTATAAGAATTTTGCATAGGAAATAGTTAAAACTACATTTTGTAAAAGATAGTGAGAGCAATAAATGAAAACGAAAAAATATTATCATAGTAAACAGGCCCTTATATTACTTAATGGATTCCTCAAGAAAAAATCTAGCCCCTATCATGAGAGTCGTAAAAAAATAGGACTTACACTAAATCCCTTTAGAAAATAGAAAAGGCCAAAATATCAAAATTCACAATTAACATTATCCACACCTGCAAATCAGGGCCTGGTACTCCATCATCGTCGTCGTCTGGAACTGCTTCACCATTTAGATCAAGTTCAGAAGACCTTTTCCATTCTGGAGTAGGAGGACAAACTACCATCTCGGGTTTTTTTTCATGATAAAATGCATACAATGCATCAATATAATCAGGTTTATAGATTCCTGGAGGGCGCGCTTCAGAAAAAATTTTAATTGCCTATAAATTGAGAAAAAGGTATTTTTATTGAAGCTTGAAGAATGCCTTAAACAGGCTAACAGGGTGAAAAAGAGAGCTACAGTAACAAGGTGACTCCAAAACTAACCTGTGTGACAGACATTGACATAGCACGCATTAAATAGTGGATAATCATGTATCCGGTACGGTTATGCCCATGTGTACAGTGAACAAGTATATACTTCTTTGACTGCTTTTGGCGTGACAAAAACTGTATAACCTGAAAACAATAGTAATAATATTGTTAAAAACTAATAATCACGGCAATCCTTGCACCTTTGAAGAGAGCTATTTGGCATACTAGGTTATTTGAGAAACATTTGGCTTCTATTTGGCGTAGAGCAGAATATTGTTGCTTCCTTGATGTTTTCTTATTTACAATGGTTTTTTCTTTAGGCTTTTAAAGAATCTATTATCCTCCAAATTAAATCATTGTATGCATTCTAAGAAACAGAAAAAGAAGCTAAATTCTTCAAAATTACTCTCTTCGTCCCACAATGAGTGGGCCAATTGACAATTTCACACCGATTAAGAAAAATGTACAAATGAAAAAGAGAAGAATGTTTTTACTAAAGTACCCTTTATTAAGTATTGGTGGTGATGAAAGTAGTAGTAATTAGAGGGTGCAATTGGAAAAAAAAATATTGCCGTTAAAAAAGAAAATGATCATTCATTTTCAGACAATTTTGTTTACAAATGGGTCACTTATTGTGGGACGGGAAGGGGAGTACTATGCATGGCTAAATAGTATCATAAAAGAAACAAACCTCATAGACAAACTGATTCACAGATAAATTATCAGGTACAGAACCACGCCCCCTGCATTGAATCTAAAGAAAAACAATGATCTTCAAATATAAGAACAAGAAAGTGATGTCAAAGTTTTAAAGAAAGTTGTAAAATATTGAGATGGTGAATTAAATATGGCTACTACAAACCTTAACATGCTTGATGAAAGTAGTATGAACAAGAAAGAGATGTCAAAGTTTTAAAGAAAATTGTAAAATAGAGATGGTGAATTAAATACGGCTACTACAAACCTTAACATGCTTGATGCCCTCTTTTTTTAAATCTGTCACAGGATAGTATCGAGAGGTGTTTGTCAAATCAATCACCAGACCAAGCTGCAAATCAAGAGAATAAAATGTAAAAAGCAATAAATTTTATGTATACCAGTTTTTTTGTAGGACATAGAACATTCAGTCTCTCTAAAATTAAACTCCTAAAGAGAAGTAGCAAAGTTATAAATTATATATAGATCTTTTTTTATGTGTGAGTAGAAGTTTAAAAGTTCATTTTGATTACTACTACTCTAAAAATCAAATCTAGAGAAAAATCAACCACAGAGCATAGGAAATGACAAACAGATAAACAAACATCTAAATAAAATATTACATTTTCAGGATTAGCTCTACTTACTTTCCTCCCTAAAACTCTCTGTTGATGTACCACTTGTTTAAATGAGTATCTTTTACCAGGAAAAATGCAGTCATTGAATGATTCACCAAGAGGAACTTTAGAAGGTATCATACAACAAATCTCCTGGCCAGATGCAGGGCAATCTAACCAACCTGTATGAAAAGAATAAAGTAATACGTAAGTTTTTTCATTCACATGTAAATCAACAGAAATATGTGACAAATGTATTCCAATAATCTCAAACATGACATGTAAATTATAACAGCTTTGAATCTGAATTTTATAAATACTTATTTGCTAACAGTGACTACCAACTGAACAATCGCTGGCTGACTCAATAACAACTGAATCAGTGCATGGCAGAGTCTTCAAAGACACGAAGGCAGAGTGTTAATACTCTAATATTCCCCGTCAAACTCAAGTGGCTGAAACATAGAATAATAATCCAAGACCCTAGCTTTGTCATACAATTCATTAAGCCTTGGGCTAAAAAAGTCTTCAACAGAGAATCAACTAGCTATTCCTCAGTTGATCAAGCATAAATAAGTCAACTTGCTATTAAAGCCCTAATAAAGCAATAAAACAGTCTTCAACAGAAAATCAACTAGCTATTCCTCGGTTGATCAAGCATAAACAAGTCAACTTGCTATTTAAATCCCTAATATAGCTATAAAACGGTGTCCTGCGGCAGATTCTGTCAAGTTAACCAAATCAGTTAACTTGCTATTTAGAGCCCTAAGATGATGATTGGTCGTGACTCGTCTGACCAACCACCATTCTAATCTCATGAATCATGACCTAGACCGGTGTGAAACCTTGAAACACTTCAGACAGTGCTACTCATCCTGTTCCTAGAGATTGTGTCGCCCAAACCCAATTCACACTCAGTCACACATAGAAAGCTTCTACTGCATGTGAAGTTTGTGCACCACCCTATGATCCATTTTTTGTGGCTACCTTTCATGTACAATTTTGCCAACCCTTGTTGGCATTTATCAGTGAACCATGATAGACTTGTTGCACTCTCTAGCTGCATATACACCCATGGATTCAAATTCTGCTATGATAGACTTTTGACCACTTCCATTCGTTTAAAACATGCTATGATATTCAAAGAAAGCTCCACAAGTGTAATCCAATGATGTGCACGGAGGTAGCATGACTCTTTCTACAATCTTGTCACACTTCAAATGACATAACATGATGTGCCCACATACTTGAATTGAACAAAAACCACCGTTAAAGTGATCAAGTCTATTCTTTAGAGTTCAGACTGACACTCTAAAGAAACCCTTGATAAATCTGACAATCTATATATGTATGGTTTTTGTGCCTCGTGATCTTCATAAAAACCATAGTGGTAAACTCAGATGTTCCGGATGTAAACAATCTCATTAACAGTTTTTAAGAGGTTCCTCTTCTGATGTGAACTTTGTCCTATAACCAGATTCCTCCACATTTGTCTCTAATTTGACTAATCATGGAGGTTACAGCCATGAGAGGTACAGGGAACATTGAAGGCTAATCTGACTAAGCGAGGATTTTTGGGATCTAGTGTTTCTAATCACATAACCATTAACTCTACTCTTATCTGCATGCTTCCTAAGTTTAAGGGAGGATAACAGGGTAGTTTGAAGGCTAATTTCAGTTAGCTACTGCTCCCTTATAAAGTTCAAATATATCAGATACTATTCTAATGAAAGAACCCAAATAGCATAAGTTAGTTACCCATTAACAATATTCTTCACTTTTTCATAATATCATCATGTTTCATCAATACATGACAAATCCACTTCAAATATAGGTCAAATTAAAGATAGAATAGTATTAAAGAAATATCGTATTTCTATCACATTGTTGATTACCACTGGCAGCAAGGAGACCATGGAAAGAAACACTTACCCGGAGGAAGCCTACTTGTATCATATGATTTAGGGTTTTTTGTATGAAATTGTTGATCATATCGAGGTGATTGTGATCGATTCACAGGTTTATCATCTGGACGTTCTCTTTTCAAGCGTCTCTTTCTTTCCTCGCGCTCCTAATAAAAGAAACAACAATGCAGGACTTGTGTTATGATTTAGTAATTGAAACTCTAATTACTAATGAAACTCACGTATGTATTTGTTAGCCAAAAAGAATCATTGTTTCAAAAGTCAAAATTGCTTGACATTCAAAGTCAAAATTGCTTGACACATTCAATTTAACAGTCAACATTAAAATTTGGATAAAATCCATTGTTAATCATACATCATATATTTTTCTTTTATTGCAACTTGCAGAGAAATGAAATATTCAAAACAAGTTAAACCATCCACTCATTAAAATGACAAGTTAGAAATAGATAGATGTTGAACTACAATACAACACACAAGTGTGCTATCAAGTCTTTAGAAAGTCTCAAATCAGATTATTGACATTGCAGCAAAGGTCCAATTGCATGGGCTAACATGGTTTTTATGGCAAGAAATGTGGATTCAATTCCTTTACCCACTACAACTCTAAAAATATATAATTCCATAATGCCATATCACTCTTCAAAATATGGAACTCTTATTACTAGAACCGTGGCCAACATACGGTCAGTTGTGATGTAACCAGACAAAAAAAGGAAAAGGAGAAATAGTACCCGGCGTGCTATAGCAGCTCCACTTTCTATGTGGTCATCAGGTGCGTTATACTCTTGAACATGTATCTTCTCTTCGTAAACATCTTCATCTTCCTCCTCCGGTACCGGAGACGCATTCAAATCCATAGCAACTATCATCAAGCATCGAAAAACATTCACGAGCCACAATAAAAATCCCAAAAAACACTAGTTCACCTCCTATTACATAACAATCCTTTTGTGTCTGCATCATTCAAACAAGCTCAATCAATTCTAATAAACGAACTAAACAATAAAATCCTACTATGAAATAGTTGAATCCTAAATACCAAAACAACGCTAATCATTTTTTGATGCACGTGAATAATGAATAACGAAAATCACAGTTGTTTTCTCTTTCAGTCGCATAATCAAATCGTACTCCTACTTCGGCTCACGTACGAAGAATCAAAACGAAACTTGAAATTAAAGAAAAGTAAGAGCGTAGAAAAGTCACGATTTCACGAACCTGAGAATAGAAACGAGAGGAAATCGACTATGAAACGGAGGATTCGTGATCGAGAAGGGGAAAATGAGCGCTACGATAGAGTCCGGGGGAAACCCTAGAGAGATGAAGAGTGAGGTTTGTTTGTTGGGGTTAGATAGAGAAAGAGAGAACAAGTGAGGTTTGTTGTTGTTGGCTTATTATTATCATTATTTTGTTTTTATTAATTAAAACGAATGAAAGAAGAGAGAGAGAGAGAAAGAGAAGGAATGGTGCAATCAAAGATCGTTAGTAAATTATATACACTCATATTATGCTTGTTACACTTCTCAATCACAATTTAACTTTTTCAAAATTATAAGTTTTGAATCAAAACCATTTGATCAAGATTCGACGGACATATTTGATTGAATATGATCAATTGTTATGTCACTGAAAAATAAGATTTAAATAGAGTTGTCACCAAATGTTATTTATTCAAATAAAGGAAAGGGAAAATATCGATTAAACACTTAAAAAAGAAAATGGTCGTCGCAATCAAATTTGGATTCGGGAGTCGTTTACACAAGGAGAAGGTATTACTGTCTCTCACGTCCATTGTACTCAACGAGAACCTTTTAGTTAAACTTGCGATTGAATGTTAGTTATTGTTACTTGTTTTCTTCAAATTATCAAAAATGCAAAAGGAAAGAAAAGGGGTCGCAAAAAAGTTTTTTATTAATGTGCCTGATGAGATTGTGGGTCTCGCTCATATGTGTCTTCAGATGCGATGGATAACTCAATGCTACATGGTTATGGGCAAGACAAAATATATTTTTTAGGTCTTTTGGTTATAGTGTTTGACGAGACGTGAATCTCGCTCCTACGTATCTTCAGGTGTGATGGAGAACTTAAAGCTATATGGTAATTAGCAGCAAATGAGTGTTGGTTGGTTGTTTTTAGAGGATAGGTGTTTATGTCGCATTCTAACGCTTAAACATTGACATGTTTGCTTGCGGATAAGAGACTCGGTGTTTGTTTGTTTTGCGGTAGAAAGGATCTTGTTTGATCGTGTTCTGGCAATTTAAACATTTAGTTGTGCGCTCGCAGATTGGGGGCTTGAGCGCTAGTTTATGTTCACGTTAAAAAGGACTAAATAATGTTCATTTCTGAAAAGGTTTCAATCATATGGGAGCGAGAATAAAAAGGTTTGATGTGTTAAGTGTTTTTTCGGATGACGATTACTTTGATAGTCGAGTAAGGCAACTCGTATCTAATTAATCAAAGAGATAAATGGAAGACTTTATACCATTTCATTTTTCATCCATAATTGCAAAAGGGTTTGTATATTGTTAAGGTATTTTAGATGGACGACAAGTACTTGAATAGTCGAGTAAGGTAACTCGTATGCAAGTACTCGAGGAAGGGAATGGAAGTCTCTAGACCACCTTCTTTTTTGTTCAAGTTGTTTACGAAAATTAGTTTGATTAGATTTGGTTATGAAAGTGGTTTGAGATGAATAAGATTAAAAGTTTTTAACGGATGACGATTGTTCGAATAGTCAAGCAAGGAACTCGTACATAAACAATCAAGGAGAGGAATTAAAAGCTCGAGACAATTTCCATTTTCATATTTTGAAATGGTGTTCAAGTATGATTAGGTGTTTTATTTTGAAGTGGAAAATGCATTTAATGTTGATCGATGCTTTTATTTGCGTTCGCTGATGAATTGAGTTATGAAAAAGGTTTTTATATTGAATGAGCTTGGATTGAAAATTGATTATTGAAATTATATTGAAACAATTTTTGAAATGATTATGACATGAGTCAATCAATTTTCTATTAACAAAATCAATTGATTAAAGTTAGATTAAATCACTTAATTAAGCTAATTCGAATTAATTATCAAAATTGTTTGATTAAAAATTAATGTAATTAAATAGTAAAGTTAATTAAAATTGATTAACAAAATTATCTAATTACACAAAACTTTAATTAATTAATTAATTAAATTAAAAAATGAAACATGATCGAATGCAAAAGGATCGAAACGAGTTAATCATAATGTACTTAAAGTCGGTTTGTACATACAACAACGTAATTGAAGTGTCGTACGTAAGAACCAAAATGTAGCGGAAATATTCCATCACTATGTCGAAAATAAATGTTGAATCCACAAATCCAAATTTGATTTACACAACACAACACAATGAAATAGAAACAACATCAACCACGCATTATTCATCAAAACAAGAATACCATACCATGAAAATAACCTACAGAGGTAACTATAATATTACGTTAATATATCGAAATAAGAATCGAAGATGTAATGACATGTTATCGATGTTGAAACCACATATCAAATCTAATTTAGACAACGCAATATAAGGAAAAAATTAAAATAGCGACAACACAAAGTCATAACATATTACACCATTTAAAAAAGTTATAAAACTAAATCAAGCACGACATAATAGTCAAAGTGAAATGTATAACTGTCGCGGTGAAAATTGGATGTCAAATTATTAGTTAATTTGAATCTTAATTCATTTTGGTTCACCACCGGTCTTTTATTTGTCCAAAGGAAGGGAAAAATCGAATTACCCACAATGCAATACAAATGCAAAAGCTAGAGAGTTATAGGTTCGGGGGTTGTTTAAACTTAGGAAATGTGCTAGCATTCTAAGTTTCTATAGTACTCTACAAGAACCTCTTGTTTTAATATGTTTATTGTCATGGGTTATCTGTTTAAGGATAAAGGACCTAGTGGTTTATTTCTAAGTATACTCGCCAAAATGTCGCATCTTCTGCCTACATATCCTGACTGGAATGAAATCAGAGTAATTGTAGTATTCCTAAAGAGTTTGAGGAGTTCTTTGTCTGTGGTCAAAGTTCCTACGGGATAAGGTAGTTGATTGATTGGTTATAGGAGAAAAGACGAGTTGTCATCTTAAGGGAGATTACTCGACTTAACCACCACAACTTTGTAGGATATGGTCTTTGCATCGTCTTAAGAGAAGGGCTCAAGCACTCGAATTGTCAACGAGTACGCCACTATCTCCTTTAAACGGAAAAGATCCTACATATTGATTGAATTGTTATGGAAAAAACTCGAAAGTTTGTATATGACCAAATCTTTGGTCAATCGCCTCTACTTGAAACAAGCTTTGTTTTTATTCAAGATGAGTGAAAACAAAGTCTTGCCTGAGCAGTTGGATATGTTCAACAAGTTAGTTGTTGATCTTGAAAATATTGAGGTCAAGATTGATGATGAAGATCAAGTGTTATTATTGTTGTGTGCTTTACCGATATTTCATGCTCACTTCAGAGAAACTCTCTTGTACACAAGAGATTCATTAACCTTTGAAGTAGCTCAGTAAGCATTGTACTCTAAGAATTTGAACGAACAAAAGAAGCACAAACCATCTTCTGTTGGTGAAAGTTTGTTCTTTAAGGGGAAATTCTTGAAGAAAGATGGTAAGTCTGAGAAGAAAGGTAAAGTTACACATATTTCTTATGATGGTAATGCTCATGCTATTAGGTGTTTTCATTGTAAGAAGGAGGGTCATATAAGAAAGATATTCCCTAGACGTCTGAATAATCATGGTGGAAAGGATAATGACAATGTAACCATTATGCAATATGGTTATGAATCATCTAATGTCATGATGGTTTCAAGCAACGACTCTAGCATGAAGTGGATTATGAATTCATGTTGTACTTGACACGTGACTCCAAACAAAGACGTGTTTGAGAAATTATGTGACCAAGATGGTGGATCAATGCTGCTAGAAAAAGCATGCAAGATTGCAGGAATTGGATCTGTCAGTTCAAGCTCTATGAGGACCATAGTGCAAAGTTTAAAAATATGAGGGACTAATTAAAATTTTTAAGGGACCAATTTATATAATTTAAAAATTATTACGGACTTATTTGCAATTTTTTGAAAAATTTAAGGGTGAATTTGAAACTTTCATAAAATATGAGGACCATAGTGCAAAGTTTGAAAATAATAATAAACAATTTAACATTTGTATTATAGAGAGTGAATGAGTATTTTCAAATTCTTTATTTTTTGATGTCATTTGAAATTCTTTAAATTTAACTTAAATAAAATACTTCATAAATTTATATCATTTAAAAAAAAAATTTATAATCTTTATCTAAATAATAGATTTTAGACAAATTATTTTAAATTGACTCAAAAAATTATTTTTTTAATTAAAATATTTCATCCAAACAAGCTAGAATATACAAAAAAAAAAAAAACTTTTATGTTAACCATGCTCACAATTTAAATATAGTAATGGTTGATCATTAAATTTCTTATATTGATAGTAGATAATTAATGAAGTTCGTTATATTCATTAAAGTAAAATATTAATAACAAAAATGACAATTAGAGACTTGAAATTAGGTGTTTAATTAAATTAAGCAGGGTTAAAATGTAAAATTGGTAATAATTAAATTTATTATTATTATAATAGATAGAAAGCAAATTCATATTTATTATAATATATTTTAAGGGAAATGTTAATGAGTATCTTAGGGATATATTTTAAGAGTTTAAAAAGATTAGTTATTTTTAAAAAGATGTGTATTCAATAAATCGAATATTAAGATATTTGATTTTTTATAAAAAATATTTTTTTTATTTAAAATACTTAAAGAGTGTGCTGTCATTAACATGACAC